GTGTTCTATTCCATCATTGGAGGTTTTTCAAGAAGAGATTGGACATGCATTTTTCTGAAACGGTATGGGGTTTCCTGTTTGAGCAGGAATACCTTCAAGGTTCCTTCCAACTCTGTTATTCTTTTAGTCAGCTCTTAGGTGCACAGACAGAAACAATTTATCCAAGCTTTGGGAACTATTGGAAGACATTCCAAATGAAGGAATGTGACCACTTCACTTTCAAGAAATAGAAGGAGAGTATTTTCTGAAGTAGCTTTGAAAGAAATCTTAGTACAGATAGTCCTCAACTTACAACATTTCTCTTAATGATCAATTGCCATTACAATGGCACTAAAAAAAGTGTGTTTTCACCACTTTTCATATTTGCAACCTCTCCGGCATCCCCATGATCATGTATGATCAAGATTGGCAATTGACTCATATTTATGACCATTGCTGTGTCCCAAGGTCATGCAATCACCTTTTGCAACCTTCTGATAAGCAAAGTCAATGGGGAAGCCAGATTCACTTCAACAACTGGGTTACTACCTATTAACTGCAGTAATTCACTTAACAACTGGGACAAGCAAGGTCGTAACATGGGTGGCCAAAATTCACTGAACAGAAAATTTGGGTTCAATAGTGGGCATAAGTCGAGGACTACCTGTTTATATTTTAATGGAAGTAAAACACTCCTTCAGAGCTCTATGCAATCTTTTCACAAAGTCATTGCTACTGGTTGCTCTCCAAGTAGTGAGTGTGTGTGTGTTGAAGATTGGAATTTGGTCAGTCAGGGAAAAAAGCATCAAAAGAATCAGATCTGCATTGCTCAACTTTCAGCCAAAAACTTTTAATACCATGACATCTAGAGTCTTCGTGGAATGTAAGCAGCCATTTACGAGAGAATAACCAATCAAAAGAGCTGTTAAAACTAATTAGACTTTTTACAAAAGAAGAAACACTGCCTGGACAATTTCATGTCAATGGGAATCTTTCCAAACTATTTGAATCATATACATAAAATATTCTAGAATAAGCATCGGCCAATGAAACAAAACAAAACAAAAGTTTCCTGGAAAAGGACTGAAAGGTAATTTGAGAAAGAGCAATCCACCTTCCTTATTCCAAATCTGACTCTAAGATTTAGTGAATTTGGAGGAAGGAGGAATTCTAAACTGAGGAATCTCAAGGTCATAAATTCTTATTTCAGATAGGCAGATCTCCAGCAAATGACAGAAGATATATTTTTAAAAACTCTTATTTTAAATACTGTGTGGGGAATATGATTTATCTATAATTCTATAGATAAAAGGGAAATATATCCCTTTTTACAGACCTTGACATAAACATACTTTATGATTTGGGAAATAAGTTTTTGTTATATCAGGTTACTGGCATATGGAAAGAATAACAAGATTGAAAGATGTCTGTGTAATGTTGGATCATAGACCAAAAATGTGTTACTAACTTATCAATATATGGAGAATGTTGACTTTATTAAGCATGAAGTTTAGCAATAAATATTGAGGGGAGACAGCTTTACTCCCAAGTTACAATTATGGATTGCCGTCTGCTTTTCAACTGGTTTGGTATATAGGTAATGGAAAGTCTGGCCAGATAATACTCTGTGTGATCAAAGTTTAATGCAAAACCTGTCTGTTTTCTTTATGCATTGTAATATACTTTTACTTTCTTTATATTTTCCCCTTTTTATTGTATTTCCTTTCCTTTCCTATTTTCTTTTCAGGCCAGCCTGGCCTGAACAAAACAAAACAAATTATTAATCATTGTTAATTTTAATCGATTTTTAAAAAATGTTATTGTTAATTCTAATTGGGTTTGTTTGGGATATTCTATTTAATTTTTTAAAAACTTTTGTATTATGTGTTTCTTTTAATGTTGTACGCCGCCCTGAGTCCTTGGGAGAAGGGTNTATACCACCTAATAAGCCTGACCCTCAAATTTTTCTTATGTTTCCTCAATATATTGAGGAAACATAAGAAAGGATATTTTTTTGTTTTCCTATTTTGTATCAATACATGTTGTTTTCAGAACAGATTCTGATTTAAATTTGAACAATTGACTTATCTACAGGAGGCACATTTTAATGGTATTTTGGTTAAAAATTTAAGGTGGATGGACTTAATTATAGCAGTGGCAAGCATATACTTTAGAAACATATAATAGATTCACGATTCAGCCCATCTATTCAGCCCATCTATTCACAATTCAGCCCATCTGCAGATAAGCTGAACCCAAATTTTTGGGTTTATATTAGATCCTAAAATTCTTGGCATATCCATAATTTGAAAAGATAAAGTTGCCTGTAACACTTCACCTAAACAAGAAGTTGACAAAGGCTAAAGATTAGAAGTCATTAAAACACCTGGATACTTATATGATGTTCACATTGCAACATAATTATGTTATTCTAATGCTATTAGAACATGACTGTTGCTTATGATAAGGTTCTTAGGATAAGATGCTTATGATAAGGTTCCCTATTAATATTATACTTGTCTCTAACTATTCCATTGATTACTGTGGGAGTTGCTCCCATGAATTGCTCCTGTGTAAAGATGGCACCACTTATACAGCAATCCAACCACAAAATTAGTAATGGGATTCAAAAGGAGTTATATAATTTAACATGGATTCCTTCACCAAGCATGGAAGGGCCAACATCCTTTTTAGGAATTGATTAACTAATGCAGAGATTAATTATCTGTCAGTTTTTATTTCCCTAATCAGATAATTTCTTCATTAATTCTTCAAAGTTGCCACAAATTTAATTAAAAAGTTTTGACTGTAGGAAACATATTGAAAAATTATCATACTTCTCATCATATGGTATTAATTGTTAAAGTTAATTGTAGTACAAAACAGAACATTGTTAAAGTAATGAGCTCAAGTTCCCATCTCTTCTGCATACATTTTAACTGTGAAATAAAAGCATTCATTTAATATGGCCTTTCAAAACTTTTGAGTATTAACAGAATATTCACTCAGCTATCTTTTGAATAATGCAACCTATGCGTTGTTTTTTTTCCTATGAGACACTGACCATTTTTCAGAAAATTATAATGATGTAGTTTTGTCAATTATTTCCAGGTTTTTATGGAGAAAAAAAGACTTCTGACATTGATTGTGAAGCGGTACTTGGGAATGGTCCTACAATTAAGGTGTCTTTCCATCACAATTATATGATTCATTCTTTATGTAAAGCATAAAAGCATCTTTCCTTTTACACAAGAAATAATATAAACCATAATTACTATGCTTGCTACATATAATGGCAACATTAAAACAGTGATGAATTAGAACCACATACAAAAACAAATACCTGACAAAGCTATATTGTATTATATAACTTATTTGAACTAGTGGATCTCTTTTAAAGACCTTGTAGTTAAATAATACAAAAAGACAAAACCTATTCTGTAAATATCATGATTCATTTTTTATTCTATGATAAGAGATACTTTTGAATTAATAAAAGGTGAACATTTGTCTTCATAAGTATATATTTTAACTACAACACTTTGAAAAAGAAACCACATTTCCAAAATGTGCTGGTTAATACAATAAAACTTCCTTCTGCTCTGTGCCTTACACACCACAACATACTGCATCCTAATCTATAAAATGTAACAGTGTCCATTATTTATATATAAGAAATTTAATGTTATAAATGTATTCATGAAATAAGAGCACTGTGAGTTACATTGGGCCAAGAGTGATTGGTCCAGAATAATCCAGTAAGTTTTCCTATTTTAAGGTAGACAAGAACCTAGTTTTCCACAGAAATACTGTGGAAACTGTACAATTTTACCATATTGTTTATTAAATGCATTTTGCTCCAGAAAAATCTTGGATCTGGTTTTCTTTGTTTTTTTTTGTCTGTCATTTAAAAGTATTTTAAATTAAAACCAGTGGTTCTATAATATACTTAATGAAATTGCTACTTATAATTCTATGTATTAGAGTGTTTCCTGATTAAAAAAAATTCTAGAGGAAAATACTGAGCGTACCAGTTACTTAATTCAAGTGACAGAGCAATTACACAATGTCTTACACCACACCTGACAATCTAAAGACAGGTTAAAGGATCCAATCTGAGTCGGTAACTAGGACCAGAGGTTTAGTCTTCCAAGCTTTCAGACCCATACTGAAGCCCATTCTCAGGGAACTTCTCTCTACCCAGATTTTCCATTCTAGAGGGAGATTAGTTACCTGAGCATGGGCTCCAGTAAAAGTCTCAAAATTCAGAAGACTAAACCTCTGGTCCCAGTGACCGACTCAGATTGAATTCTGCAACATTACACTGGGACACTTATATCAGTCTTCATTCAAAAGGTTAAAGCTATAAAGTAACATTGTGAGGTGACATAGTCTAAAAACATGCTATGCTTCCACGTTTCAGGCTACAAAATTATATCATCATCAAAAGTCAAGGTGACATGCGAATCCAAATTCAGTTGGAGATGCTGGGAGTCGACATCATAAATTTAATAAATTATATTATTGCAATGTTGATGAAAATAATAAGCATGTATTATTATTGTTATCGTAACCTTCATTGGCTTAACGATCCTAGTTACAATTTTTTAAGGCTGTCTTCATAAAACAATTCACACTGAATTATGTTCTTGTATATGTATTTACTTCTATCAAGAATTTAAGATAAGAAAGGCGGATGAGACACTTTTCCCAAAGTATACATGGCATTCAGCCATAGGCAGAAAAAAAATAGTACTAATTTACTGATTTTTACGTTGCGTGCACAGTCTTATTTTAATTCCCAATGGCTCCACACTGAATTAGAAAAAAAAAATCCTAGCCAAAACATGCAATACATATACACTACTAACTGATCTTGTATTCTTCTATGTGTCAATCAGTATCTATAATGGAAAAAGTTCTGGCATAAGAATATCCTTTTTTCTCTCTTTTCCAATGCAAATGTTAACAAGAATCATAGATTAGTATGCATATCAATGCATGGCACTATTAATACTTACAGACTCAAACATTTTTCCAAGAAGAGATTCATGTCCACATCAGAAAAAGTCACTCATGAAGTATCCGATTCCTAATGTCAGCTCTCTCATCTTAGTTCATGCAAAAAGAAAAAGTGATAAGATGACAAAAGAGAATACATCAGTGAGGCAGTGAGTAGAACTATGTAGACATCCCAATTTAAAAATCTATAGGTAAACTTTTGTCTTCTGCATGTTCCGGGAGACCTATTGGACATCAAAATAGACAGACTAATAAAGGGTGAAAAATAGAATTGCACATACAAAGAAAAGACTCACATAGGGGAATTGCACATACAAAGAAAAGACTCACATAGGGGAATTGCACATACAAAGAAAA